GATGCAGGTGGCCAAGACATCATAGTTGCCGACTGTGTCCCTTGGCTATTTATGTTACTCCTACCCATCATAGTGGCATGCCATTGTGCTTCATGCCTAACAATAGAAAACACCTCATCGACAGATGGTAAAGGTTGAGTTCATATAATATGACTACGTACCTTATCAAAAATATCATCCAAACCGGCCAAAAACGCATAAACACGATCTTTTTGGATTTCTTCACGAAGTGTCTTGAGATCAATAGCACATTTCATCTTGATTGGTCTCCGTTGATCTAACTCTTGCCAAACGGAATTAAGGTCAACATAATACACATCAACAAGACGACATTCTTGACGAAGTCGAAACGATTTTACCTTTAACTCATAAATCTGAGAAATATCCGAACCATCATAATATGTTCGAGCCATTTCTTTCCATACTTCTTTAGTTGTACAACGGTGAATGAAAAATCCCGTGATAGTAGGCCCGTAGAATTGATCAACCATCTTTTTACTATTGCATTCCATGTCTCTCACGTCTCATACTCAGCACTATCCTAGCCAAGTTCTTTGATACTCCCTGTAACGAAGCCTTTTTTACCACGTCCGGCGATGTGCATCGCCAATACCTTGGACCAAAAATGATAGTTTGATCCATTTAGTTTCACAGTGGTACGGCGAACGCATCATTCTGGATGACAACAGGGTTCAATACCAGATTGTTGGTTGGTGTGCAGGAACCACCTTCCAACTTCAAATTCGAGTTGTCTCGCATACTCGTCATCTTGACTTACAGAAACAACCTTCACAGCACCCATAGTGTTAGACAAACAGCCTTCACAGCAATTTGCACGGCAGCAGCAAGACCACACTGCTGCAATTCCAATAGAACGCAGCCTAATTGATTTCTACAAGAAGCAGCACAGGAACACGTAGGCCGAGCACAACAGCGGAAGAAAATATTGTTTTACAGTTTCTAGGGTTACGGCAAACCAGGCTCAGATGCCAAATAGAATTTTACATAGTAATTTTTATTGTATTACATAATTGAAATATATACATATACAATCCTTGTTCCATAAGGAAATAATAAAGGACACAAACATATATCCTTCCTAATAAAGGACTCCTAATACATAATCTCTACATTCCCTTTTTAAATATTTACTCATTTTTACATAGTAAACATTAAAAGAATTGTGCTCAATTGCTGAGCTTCTTTTCATTTTCTGTTTATATAGAACTTTACAAGTATAGTTAATTAGAACTTTACAGGTATAGTGAATATTTCACATGGATACACTGCATCAATGTTTCTGCATCTGAGTATGGGCATCATTTGTTTAATGCATGCGTGGGCAGCATTTGTTTAATGCATCTGCATCTGAGTATAGGCAGCATTTGTTTAATGCATGCGTGGGCAGCATTTGTTTAATGCATACGTTGAGTGTATTGCAGAGTCATGCAGAGTCATTCACAACACTTGGTTTATCACACCCCCGCAAGCTGAGCGGTTGCCGGCGAACGGGAAGCTTGGAAAGAAGATAATTGAAACGATAAGTGGACAGTCCTTTGGTCAGGAAATCAGCAAGTTGATCTTGCGTAGCAACATAACCAACTTGTAATTCCTGGCGTGTGACCTTTTCCCGAATGTAATGATAATCGACTTCGACATGGCGAGTGCGGGCATGAAAGACAGGGTTTGAGGCAAGGGAGATTGCAGAAATATTATCACACCACACCTTTGGAGGAGATAGATGAAGATGCAGGTCTTTGAAGAGCTTATGAAACCAAGAAATAGTAGCTGCAGTTATGGCAAGTTGTCTGTATTCTGATTCTGTGCTAGAGCGAGACACTCCTTTTTGTTTCTTAGAACTCCAGGACACAAGGTTTGGACCAAGAAATATACAGTACCCACCAGTGGATTTGCGATCATCCGGATCTCCTGCATAATCAGAGTCGGCAAAGGCAGTGAGGGTGAGAGGTCCAGGTTTATACACAAGGCCATGATCTGGTGTGGACTTCAAATAGCGAAGTATTCTTTTAACAGCAATCCAGTGTGTTGTGGTTGGTTGATGCATGAACTGGCAAACCTGGTTGACAGAGAAGGCAATATCAGGACGGGTGAAAGTGAGATATTGGAGTGCACCCACTACACTCCGGAACTTAGTAATATCTTGTAATGGTTCGCCGTCATATAAGCTGAGACGTTTGCCACTGACTGCAGGAGTGGAGACAGGTTTACAGGCCACCATGTTTGTACGGTGAAGCAAATCAGAAATATATTAGACTGTGAGAGATGAATGCCATTACTAGAGCGATGAACCTCCATACCCAAAAAATAATGGAGAGGACCAAGATCTTTCATTGAAAAAACCGAGCCCATGTCCTTGATCAAGGTGTTTATACACTGAATGTTGTTGCCTGTGATAAGGATGTCATCTACATAGATTAATAAGTAAATACGAATTAAACCATGACAATACACAAAGAGAGATGAATCTGCTTGGGAGGCCACGAAACCCAGGTGTTCCAGATGATTAGAAAAACATTGGAACCATGCCCTAGGGGCCTGTTTAAGACCATACAGAGAGCGCCGCAATTTACAGACATGTGTGGGATATTGAGGATCAACAAAACCTATAGGTTGTTTCATGTAAACTTCATCAGATATTGAACCATGTAAAAATGCATTTTGAACATCCAGTTGGCGTATAGGCCATGAAAAATGAACAGCCATAGCAATAATAAGGCGGATGGTTGAGTGTGTCACCACTGGACTGAAAGTTTCTCCATAATCAAGACCTGGTTGTTGATGAAAACCATTGGCCACAAGATGAGCCTTAAACCTGTCAATCGACCCATCAGACTTTCGTTTAATACGAAAAACCCATTTATTTGGTAATACATTCATGGTAGGATTATAAGGTACCAAAGACCATGTGCCCGCCCGTTGTAGGGCATTGAATTCATCAGCCATAGATGTCCTCCATTCTTGAAATTTATTGGCTTGACTGTAGCAGGTAGGTTCAGACATAGCAGTGATGGTGGAAGTATGGGCATACTTAGGGTTACGTTTAGAAATGCCAGCTTTTGCACGTGTAACCATAGGATGGATGGTTGGGGGGGCTATAGTGATTGGGGTTGTCGAAATGGGAGGGAGTAGTATGGTATGGCGGGATGAGTGTAAAGATGATTGGATGGGAGAAGAAGTAGGAGTCAAAGGGTGGGTGATAGAGACGGGTGAGGGAAAGTGATTGTCTGAAAAAGTGTTGGAATGGGTGAGGGAAGTATGGGATAGAGTAGGATGAGATGGCGAATTTTGTGGGGATGGAAAAGTGAGTTCAGATGTCCCAAGAGGAACAGGATTGCTATCATGCAGAGAGGATGAAATGGGAGTAACACTGAGATTGTCATGAAATGGAAAACAATTTTCATCAAAAATAACATGTTTAGACATGAAGACACGACCTGTGCATGGGTCAAGACATCTATACCCTAATTGATTTTGAGAATAACCTAAGAAAACACATTTCTTGGAACGAAAATGCAATTTGTTTGACATGTATGGACGTAGGTATGGAAAGCAAGCACACCCAAAAACCTTAAAAAAATCATAAGATGGTTCTCGATTAAACAATTTTGTGTATGGAGAAGTTAATTTCAAAACTTTAGTTGGCAGTCGATTAATCAAAAAATTAGCAGTATGTAGAGCTTCAGCCCAATAGGTTTGTGGCATGGATGCATGAGCAAGAAGAGTGAGACCAGTTTCAACCAAATGACGATGTTTTCGTTCTGTCATACCGTTTTGTTCAGGATGGTGAGGGCATGTATATTGATGATGAATGCCATGTTTTTCCAAATAAGATTTGAAAGTTTTGTTAATATATTCTCCTCCACCATCCGTTTGAAAAGTTTGGATTTTTGTTTGAAATTTATTCTCCATTTTAGTTTGAAATTTAATAAATGTTGAGAACACATCAGATTTTAGTTTTAATGGATAAAGCCATGTATATCGTGAATAATCATCAATGAAAATCACATAATAGCGAAAACCAGAAATTGACAAAGTAGGGGACGTCCATACATCAGAATGAATAAGTTGTAAAGGAAAATGAGAAATAGAATTTGATGGGGAAAATGGCAATTTCTTGCTTTTGCCCAGAGGGCATGAATGACAGACAGAATTAAAATGGTGCCTAGTAAGAGGCACTTTGCTAGAGGAAGCTAAATGCTTTAAAATAAATAACGAAGGATGACCGAGTCTAGAGTGCCAAATACGATCATCAACCTTGACTCCCATGCACGAAAACAGTCCATGTCTTTTAATGGAATTAAAACTTGAATAAGGATAAACACCAGTGTTAAAGGATTGTCCACTTATCGTTTCAATTATCTTCTTTCCAAGCTTCCCGTTCGCCGGCAACCGCTCAGCTTGCGGGGGTGTGATAAACTGGTCAGTTTGGATCCAAGGTTCGAAGAGAGGATTGATGGTGTCAGTGAGTTGACCATCATCATTCAGTTGATGAGCAGAAGGGCACTGAGAAGTGCCATCAACATATGGCATCAAACTGCGACTGCGAAGAAAGGGAACAAACTGGGCACGCCACAAGGGATAATTATGGCGATCAAGTTTTAGAGGAAGAAATGCAGAAACATTAGTGAGGGCAGCGGAAGAAGACATTGTATTTGGAAGAGAAATATGTCGTAAGACTTGGAAAAAGGGATGATACCATAAAAGAATTGTGCTCAATTGCTGAGCTTCTTTTCATTTTCTGTTTATATAGAACTTTACAAGTATAGTTAATTAGAACTTTACAGGTATAGTGAATATTTCACATGGATACACTGCATCAATGTTTCTGCATCTAAGTATGGGCAGCATTTGTTTAATGCATGCGTGGGCAGCATTTGTTTAATGCATCTGCATCTGAGTATGGGCAGCATTTGTTTAATGCATGCGTGGGCAGCATTTGTTTAATGCATGCGTTGAGTGTATTGCAGAGTCATGCAGAGTCATTCACAACACTTGGTTTATCAAACATGACATTAATGGAGCTTGAAGAAGGCCAGTAGAGGATCATACACAAGTTGATTGGCATTCACACTCATAATAAAATCCATATGAGCATAATCCTCTATGTACTCTACCACAAGCTTGTCCTTGTCATGATCTTTGAGGTTGTCAAGCAGAAGCCCCACGTCATTAACGTCAGAAAGCGCATCTCTCCCCCCGTAGCTGAGGAAAAGAGGAACGTCTTTCGGAATGTTTGCCATGTTGTACACAGGAGGAGTAGGCTGCTTGTAGTGTTCCATGTTCGTGTCTTCGTTACCATAATCGTACATTTCTAGGGTTCCCATCCTGACCACTATCCAAAATCCATAAACCGATATGACCAAACATTAAAATTGTAAGGATTAATTTGTTGATTAGATAGGACTTCTGGGAACTTAGTGTTCCAGAATTCAAATATCACAACTTATATAACTTGCTATTAACTGATAAACCTAGAAATGAATGAGACTCACTCTGAGACAGATGTATCATGTTCTTTGTCGCCGTAGACTGGGGGAAGTTCTTAAATAAAGCAGCCTTGCTTGCAGAACTGAGGCAGCAATTTGGGCCTGTATATGGGTTGCAAAAAACTAATTCATATTCAGTGTGAATGAAGAACCCTAACATTGTTACTATTGAGATTGTGAATCCCATGCGTCGTGAAACTAAGGCCCTGCATAACAGTTTAAATGATTTTTGGCCTCTCAACCTGTGATAGTTGCCAATAAGTCCGAGCAGTCAACGCCTGGTGTTTTGCAGATAAACTCCACAAGTGCTTGTGTCTCACTGTTGAGATTTTGAGAACAAAAAACTGTTATAGATGTCATTTTTCAGAAATGTGCCATTTGTTAAACAAAATATCTAAATTTCTTTTACCAAGTTTAATCTACTTTATGCTATTGTCTTTATGCTTGTGTCTTTATTACGACTGAAGCAAAACTGCTTAAGTTGCTATCTCCCCCGTTTGGAACTTCATGCAAACCCAACAATTTTAGTTTCTGTAAAATAAAAAAAATAAAAGACAACACTTAGTCAGTTAATTCCATATTTGCAACAGTGAAGTTCTAAAATTCATATTTTTGAAACAAAAGAGTAGTCACTGAGTTGTGTTACTTCTGATAAAAATAAGTCCATAAGAATCCTTATAAACAGCGAGGACATCTGACCCAGGTAAGCTATTGGGGTAAGCAAAGCAGCCGATCTTAGCAAGTTCAACAGTTTTTCTTGGGAGAAAGCAGCGAGGGCAGTCAGAGTTCCCTATGAAATTCGTATGGTTAAAATATGTTAATCACAACTGAGTGGACAAAGAGGTGTACCCATGGAGTGGACGCTAATATTGTCCAACTTTAGATATGAGCAAATTAGGTGAATATTTACCAAGGAATGCCCAACATAGTGTAAATTCTGCCCTGTTTGATTGTTCACATACTTTAATAAAGCCGGAAGATCATAAGCAGCTAATTCATCCCATGACCAGTCCCAGTAAGCCTACACGTTATAGAAGATTCAACAGATATGTTTCAGTAAAAGATTATGATCTGCAGATGGCATGATGTAATCAACATTTGACAAGGCAACGCTAACCGGATCATTAGGAGTAAGTGATGTGTGTCCACGACTAGACTTTGTCCCGCGAGTGTTAGCAAGCCATACATCAAACCCATTGTCAGCCAAGATAAATGCCAAAGCTTGATCCGGCGGATTGAGTAGCCATGCTGAAGCATCCTGTTTTGTTCACACACAGTTGTTCTTTAATTAGTTCATGCATGTTTGTCTTCCACATGTGTTTGTGTATGTATATGCATGCTCACAGATATGGTGCTTAGGTGAAAACCATTAAGAGCCCATGTTGTAACAGAACAGGCTTCTTGTTTGGTGTCTCTTCACCAGACCGTCCCTTGGGAATTCTCTGCAAGCCGAGGATGTGACCGTCTTCTGTTGTTACCTGAAACTCATCATAAATTTCATGAAAAAAACACAATAAAAAAAAAAGATCTTTTTCACATGACATAAGCTGAAAATGTAAGGCATGCACTTTCTGATGCTTACTTTATGTTCTTGGCAAGTATAGCCCTGTGTCTCCAACATTGATTTGCAAATGCCGCCATCGACATTTTCGATGGATTGCAGCTTAGTTCTTGTTGCTGCAACTATTGAAACCCAAAGTAGAGCCACAACAAGTATAATGGTCGAAGGATTTTCCATTTGAAGTTAAGGTGTCTGTGAGTGCAATAATTTTCACAGGTTTTGTTATTTATAGTAGACAAATGCATATACGACAACCAAACAAACGTAACAGACTAGTATTCCATCACTTGGTGTTACTAATTAATGTACTCATATTATAACACTTATCTATTGAAACTATATCTTAGGTCCATGATATATCAATAATGTCGTTCCCCCGTACTATGACGTCTAAAATGTTAACATACATGGCGGTTTGATGGTTTCTAAGCTTTTGTGAATGCCATGAGATGATTGCGTCAGACATAATGAATCAACTAGCATATGCCAAAACAAAAAGAAAATCTATGTCACGTCAAGAAATGACCATCATTTCAACAACACAAAATTTTCAGGCAACTAAAAATTGGCGTTTATAGATAATGATAACAAATAAGCGGTTTGCAATGAAACTAAAATGTGTGGTTTTCTTTTGGTCACGCTTTATCCCTGTCTATTGGATTTGGAGTTGAATAGTTTAAACTCTTGATATTTTGACCAATATTCTTTTAGTCAGTATTAGTGTTTGTTTGGGAAGTGATTTTCACATACTTCCTTTAACTTCTCGCACACCAATATTAATTTAATCTCAACTGTCGATTTCGTTTGACTTATTCAATCCGATGATCAAAACTAAAGAGAGGTGTGCGAGAAGCTAAAATGATGTGTGAATATCACTTCCCGTTATTTTTATGTATAGGCTTATGTTACACCAACTCTTGGAGGGGAAACGGCCTCCAACATTTACAGTTGGCAGGAAACGGGTATAATTTTCGGGGAAGGAAAGCGTCTGATATTCTACGGGTGCTTAAATTGACAAAGTTGACTGCAAAATGTTGGATCAGGCAAGTTAGGTATCAATTTTCTCTACTTTATTCTAAGATGAAAAATCAAGTTACTACAATGAGAGTGAAAGAAACCAAGAAAAAAAAAGCCTTCTAAAGTTTAACAATTGCAAGAAAAAAGAATTACAAAAGTGGCTAAAGTCTCAATGGAGCTTGAAGAAATCCAGTAGGGGAGCATACACAACTTGGTTGGCATTCTCAGCCATAAGAAAATCCATATGAGCGTACTCCGCTGTATATTGTGCCACAAGCTTGTCCTTGTCATGATCTCTGAGGTTGTCCAGCAAATACTTCACATCAAGCACGTTCGAAAGCGGGTCTCTCCCTCCATAGCTTAGGAATAGAGGAACGTCTTTCGGGATGTTTTCCATGTTGTACACAGGAGGAGTAGGCTGATTGTAGTGCTGAATGTTTATTGCTGGAAAAACATAATCGTACATTGCTATGTTTCCCTTTGTGACCACTTTCCAGCATCAACAAGAAACAAAAAATTTGAAAGTTTGTTAGTATTGAATTTAACAAGAGGGGATATATACGAACTAAAAGTTTCAAAACGAATACTAGTTTTTTTTTTCCTATTTTACTTTGGGAGAACGACTTCACAGGGTTGCATCATGACAGTGTTTGATCAGCTTGGGATACAGTTACGGTAACATGCCCATTCTAAATGGCTTTCTTTCATACTTTAGACACTTAGCAGTTACAATTCACCATTACTGAACCCGGAATTGAAAGAGACTTACTCTGAAACAGATGCATAGCATTCTTTATCGAAGTGGACTGGGGCGTATGTCGAAGAAAAAGATTTATGCTTGAAGAACCGAGGCAGCAATTTGGCCCTATAACAAATTTCAAGTTAGAAGGGTAAATGACAAAGACTAACATTGTGAAAAGGACTTTCATGCAACGGGCATCCTTGATGTGGGTAAGTTTCTCTATAACATATTGTCACTACCTGTTGTAGCTGTGAGGTAGTTGGAGCAGCCACTGCCCGGTCTTGCGCAGATATACTGCAGAATTTGCTGCACCTGCCTATTGGGATTTCAATGACATCAGATAAAACTTGTTATCCAAGTATAAAATGAGCGATCAAGAATAAAATGGATTAAAATTTCAACCAAAAAATTTCGTTTTGCTATGAATAAATTGTTACTTGAAGCACAAGAATTCCTCTTCATTTATATACAATGAAAAAATTACAAGACATACTTAAAATCTTCCCATACTTTTTTGTGCCAGATTGAATTTAACTCAGTGTATAGTCTGCATTTTTCTTTACAAATTATTTGAGCTGCAATCTCACCTGTTCGGAAATTCAAAGGAAAAGAAGAAAGCCGGTCCCTGGTAAAGAAAATATATAAAATTTTGGTCAGTTTTCTATGTTCATCACATTGAATTTAGAAATCCATACATGAAAAACCAAAATGTTCATTGAATTGTGTTACTTGAGCTAAGAACGCATCGACAGCAGTTCGTGCAAAGGGTGAGCGCATCTGACCAAGATAAGCAATTGGGGCAAGCAATGCAGCTGATCTTAGCATGTTTACCAGTTTTCCTTGGGAGAAGGCAGCTAGGGGAGTTAAAGTTCCCTATGATTCAATACTTCCAAGTCTCAGTCATCGATTTTCTGTGTGTCGAAATTTTTTCTAAAACTATAAATTATGAACGAAGTACAAATTATTTACCAATGAATGCCCAACATAGTGTAATTTCTGTCCTGTTTGATTGTTTACATACGCAAACAATGCAGGAAGATCATAAGCAGCCAATTGATCCCATGACCAGTCCCAGTAAGCCTACATTATTAGAAGAAAATACATACTTTTAGTTTAATTAAGGTTATGATCTGCAAATGGCATGATGTAATCAGCATTTGAGAAGGCAAAGCGAACCGGATAAAGCGGAGTAAGTGTTTTGTGTCCACGGCTGGAGACTGTGCCACGACTGTTGGCAAGCCATACATCGAAACCATTGTCTGCCAAGATAAACGCCAAAGCTTTGTCCGGCGAATTGAGTAGCCATGCTGAAGCATCCTGTTAATTACAAAAACATAATTGTTTCTTAATTCGTTTGTACGCTACGTCACGTAAATGTGTATGCATGGTCAAATATAAGGTGCTAAAGTAGGTATAAATTTACCATAAGGATCCCGTGGTGTAACAAAACAGGCAGCTTAGCTGCTGTCTCATTACCAGCAGACTTCCCGGCTGGAATCCTTTGCAAACCAAGGATGTAATCATCTTCTGTTGTTACCTTCGAAATTACCACGGCGAAAGATGAACAAAATTTAATTAGTTAATGCGAAAGAGTGATGTATAAAACCCACAAAAGAAAGGCTGGAAATTTTGACACTTGATCATTACTTTATGTTCTTGGCAAGGGTAGCCTTGTGTCTCCACCAGCGATTTGCAAATGCCGCCGTCGACGTTGCCGATTGATTGCGGCTTAGTTCTTGCAGCTGAAACACAAAGTAGAGCTACAAGAAGCAGAATGCTGAAAGAGTTGGCCATTTGGAGCTGAGTTGTGTAGTTTCTAAGTGCAACAAAATCAGGGTTTGCTTTTTATAGTGAACAAATCCATAACAAAACGGATGAAGCCATTAATTAAAAGAAATATTTATGATGATTTCTCATGAAAGTAATATTTCATAAGAGTTGACCTCCAAACCTCAACTGGTCACTGGTCTCTGGTCAGACTTTGACAGATTTTCCTAAAAAATAGTTAATGTATGTAATTCCTAATAAATGCAATTTCTACGTTTCATTTGTACATGTAAATGTAGGGACTCGCTACAGTTCATGTATTTACTTAATACATTTATCATATATTAATTATTAAGTAAATCTATGTATTGTAAATGTGTAGTTAAGTCCGTAAATTATGATTTATTAATTTGGGATACAACTCTCATTTCCTTGTCAATGCGCAAGAAAACTGTCAATAAAGAGTGTTGGTATGTCCACTTCCCTACCTTTATTTTTGCTCGCATCTTATAAAACAATATAAATAACAAGTTAATATAAAGTAAACGAAAAAAATAAGAAAGGTGAGTGAGCACAGTACTTGCCGTCTTTGGCAAAGTACACCCACATTGGAATCGGTCATGAAAACGTAATAGTAGTAACCCACAAACTTACATTTTCCTACCAGTTTATAGTAGTAGTGTTTCTAAATGGGTGAAATATTTGTTGCTTGGGGTCCCCTACGGCCAACGTCCTTTTACAAGTATTTTTTAGGGTACGAAACTGCACTTCTTTCAGAACCTCCGTGCCTTGCACTAAGTAACCTTTCCCGTCATTGGATTTAGCAGATGCAAGTCTAAGGATGACATTACAATTACTGGTTCTGATGAGAAGATTCCAATCTGTTTTTAGTGACGTGGGTGAAGTCTTTGAGATGGAAGACAGGGATGCCCCTACTACGGGTTGCGGATTTCTTATACTTTAAGAAAGAAGGTAGCACCTTCGTGAATCAAGGAAAAAAAATGCTCACGAAATTGTTGCAAGTGCAGTCATCCACCTTCACTCCTCCTTCGTCGGCGTCTTTGTAACCTACATTACTCACTTCGTTCAGTAAAAGGGCTGATTTCATGTGATTCTGAAACCATGGCGAAATCATCTTCTTCACAGATGACTCCATGGCTAGATTACAGCCATTCTTCTTCAAAGCAGATGTCGTGGCTGGATTACTGTTACTAGTCAAGATGTGGATTGATGCAAAGGAGGAGTCAAGGCAGCTGTGACCCCTGTCCCGTGATGGGATGTTTACTTACAAAGAATGAGTATCTAAATTATTCTGGAATTTTAACTTCCCTTGGTTTTACCCGTGAATTAGATTGGATAGGAGTAGTTAATCCGATATATTCACTCATTCTCTTTGATATTCCTGACTTTTCCGATTCACGATTTCCCTTAATAACATGCAACCATGTAGAGAATCTAGATATATAGATAACAAGGCATTGAGTGTTGATCTAGACAAACTACGGTAAAAGTACAATGGAACCATAAAAATGGTAGTAATTATACGAATTTTGTTGGTAAAAGGAAGATCGAGTACACAGCATGGGTAAATACAACTCTGCCCTCAGGGTTGTCAATGAGAAATATGATGAGGGAAAAGAAAAGAACATAAAAGAATTGGCATTACTTCTGTCACAAGTAAATATTCTCA